TCAAACTTTAATGAACGTAGAACAAGTATTGCATTGCTTTATATTTTTTGAAACGACTCATAATAATTTTAAAGAGTAAAACATTGTTTTAGTTCAATATTTTTACTTCTATTTAAGTCATGTCATAAGGCATTTTTAGCGCAATTTTCGCATTTAAAGAGCATTTTTTGCACTTTTAAGGGCATTTTTTGCACTTTTAAGGGCATTTTTTGCAGTTCATAAGGGCATTTTTTGCACTTTTTAAGGGCATTAATAGAGATTTTTTAGGTCATCAAAATCCGGGCTCTAGTTATTACAAATACTTTCATCTGTTAATTTTTTTCAAGATTCATTTCTTCATTATTTCTTTAAAAAAAAGTTCGAATTTCTTGTACTTGCAAATTTTGCCACGAGAAACTGTTTTGATGGAGCTGGCATGGCTACTGACTTTGAAACACAAATAACTACCACAGTGGTTTCGTATACTAACGTGTTTGTGGCTGGCCAAGAAGGTAGCGTTCAAAATTGATTCGAAACAAATATCCTAAAGCTGTGTTTTTTCATTGTGCCAATCATGTTTTGAATCTCGTGATCAACGACTTAAACCGCGTTAAGGGAGTACAGAATACTATAGGGACAACGAAGGAAATTATTAGCTTTTCAGAGAAAGTACCTTGTGACAAAGAGAAATTCCTAACATCCCCTTACTCTGTGAAACACGCTGGTCAGAAAAGTACAAGAGTACCAGACGATTTTCTGAAAAGTTTGTTACAATTATAAAAGCTTTTGAAGGCCTTACAGAAAAAGCTGCAAACAAAGACACCAAAGTGAAAGCTAGTATACTTTTATCAGCTGCTACAACGCCAACATACATTGTATCACTTTTTGTTATTGCTACTTATTCTGCCAAACTTGAACCTGTGTGCAATCAGTTGCAAAAAGTAAACACAGATCTAAAAGAAGTAACTGATTATGTAGTCAAATTGATAGAGGTGCAGCAAATTCATCAAAACAATGCTTCTGAAGTGTACTGCAGGTCTGAGAAGTACTGCAATTTTCACGAAAGCAGAACACATTTGCGAAGAATTAGGCATTGAAATGAATCGACCTCGAGTGGCATGTAGACAAGTTCATAGATCGAATGTGCCTTTTGAAAACGCAGAAGAATTTTTTAGGAGATCAATCTTTATTCCTTATTTGAACTCCATTATGTCTTCTTTGAAAGACCGTTTTTCTTCTACACAAAGAAAAGCATTTTCACTCTTACAGCTTTACCCGAATGCGATGAACAAACTGGACAAAGCGTCATATCCTGATGTTTTTGAAGATATATATACTATGTATAAAGATCTGCTCTCATCGAATTTCATCACTGAAGCTACAACGTGGTACGAAATGTGGAGGAATAGAGAAAATTCTTACGAGTCCCTCGAGCACATCGATTTAGTTATTGAGGCCACACCGTTTTATCCAGCTGTAGAGGAGGCAATCGAAATTGGCCTAACTCTTCCAGCTACTACGTGCACTATTGAACGCACTTTTAGTACAATGCGAAGCATCAAAACATAGAATAAATCTACAATGTCTGACGAGAGATTAAGTAGTTTGTGCATGCTCAGTGTGCATAAGAAAAGAATCAAAGATGACTCAGAATTTATTGAAAACGTTATAAACAGATGTGGACAGCAAACAAGACGGTTATAATTCTTGTTTGATTTAACAATTCTTTAATTGTTTATGTATCAATGACTACTTAATTATTTGATTTTGAATAAAAATATTTCAATAAAAATTTTTTAGAACAAATTTTTTTTTCCGTATCTCCTTAATTGTTTTTAAAAAAACCTCCTTGCACCCCCGCTGCCGGCGCCCTTGTTCTTCGCCATTATCCCATTGTGCTCAAGTGCGAAGTTAGTTATGATGTTGACCATTATTTCCTCCCTGTCAGCATTCCAAACATCATCTTGAACTAAATCCTTAATATGGCATTTCCATTATACGTAAAATGAGGAATCATCTCTCTTCACGTTTTTATAACTAAGTAGTTCAGTGATATTATTTCACATTAAGGAGATGGTTTGTATAGAAAATAATCAATTTGATGCAATAGCATCACTGATTTTTTGTTTAAGGTAAAATTAATTTAGAAGAACAAAATAAGGACTGTTATTAGTTTCGTAAAATTGTTTCGACTTTTTGCAGAATTAAGATTTCTGATCAAATGATAGATATGGAAAAGGTAAATGATGACGTATAGATCATGATGTCGACCATCATCTCTCAGAGTTCCAAGTATTGTTTTGAACCGAATCTTTAATGTGGCGCTTCCCAATAAAGCGTTAAGTGATGTGTGTTTCTCGACAAATTTTTATAACTAAGTAGTTCCGTTAATTACATTTAGAATTTAATTTGGATAGAAAAAAAAAGTCGATTTGATGTAATAGCATAATTGATTTTTAGTTTAAGGACAGTTAAATTCAGAAGAAAAAAAAATGATTATTTGTTTCGGTTTTAAAAGATTGTTTGTTTCGTTTTTACAGAATTACGATCTCTGTATAAATTATCATTCAATTCAACAATTCAATATTATTTTATTTAAAGATATTGGTGAAACGCTAGAATTATTCGAAATAAT